ATATATATATTCTATTCTATATGATAGATATATTCTATTCTATATTCCCTAGAATTAGACTAAAATTCAAATAACACAAAGGTGCAACAAATAAAGAATAAATGGGCTATCCTGGATTTGAACCAGAGTCCTCGCCCGTGAAGTAATATATATACATGTGTATGCAGTGTCCACTGTTGCAGTTTCCATTGCTCCCGTTTCCACTGCTCCAGTTTCCGCTGCTGCAGTTTGTACTGCTGCGGTTTCCACTGCTGCAGTTTTCAGTACAACAGTTCCCCTAACTGTAATTCCCCCTACTTTAGTTTTTACTGCTACAGCTTCCTGTCCTCGAGCTCCAATGCAAAGAACATCACAATCTCTTTGACGCTCACATCCTTTGCTCCAAAATCTTGCCCAATGCACCCCCCTCCAGGGCTGAATTTCCGGTCCCACCGGGGGGCCCTTCCCCCACCGGAACCGGACCGGTGGCACCGGCCGGTGGACCTCGCCGGTTCCCCCCGTTGGAAAATCGCGCCGACGGGTAGCGGCCGATTTTGATTTTTTTTGGGGGCCGGGAGGCCTCCCTGCGGGTCGTGGAGGCTTCCCGGCCCCCCCAAAAAAAAACCGGGTCCAGTGTGGCCGCCAGAATCTTGAAAAACTGGCGGCCTATCTGGGTCGTTGATCTGATGTGATCGGCGGCCCAGATAGGCCACCAGTTTTTCAAGATTCGGGCGGGAAACCACCTGAAGTCGGACTGGCCAGCGTCGGCCCCCGCAGCCCTGGAGGAAGCCGTCCTCGTCACTTCGACACTTCGTCGCAGTGACGAGTGTGGGAAAGCACGCGACTACTGACTGCGCCCCTTGTCACGTCGGGCATGGCATGTTATGGCCTCCCCCGCCCCGTCGTCCACCGGTGAAGGTAAGTGGTATTATCTATCTTAGACTTTCTTCTTCTTCTTCTTCTTCTTCTTCTTCTTCCATTTCTTCTTCTTCTTCTTCTTCTTCTTCTTCTTCCTCCCCCGTTCTTCTTCTTCTTCTGAGTCCTCTTTTGACATAGCCGAAAACCCGAAGTTTTCGACGCTCGAAGTTTCCGACGCCCGAAGAGAGAGAGAGAGAGAGAGAGAGAGAGAGGGGGAGAGAGAGAGAGTTCGAACGAGAGAGAGAGAGAGAGAGAGAGTTCGAACGAGAGAGAGAGAGAGAGAGAGAGAGAGAGAGAGAGAGAGAGAGAGAGAGAGAGAGAGAGAGAGAGAGAGAGAGAGAGAGAGAGAGAGAGA